AAAAAATAAATATTAAAAACTCTCTCTCTCTCTCTCTCTCTCTCTCTTAAAAAAAAAATCTCCCTCTCTCTCTCACACTCTCTCTTTAAAAAAAAAATAAATAAATAAATAAACAAAATATAGGTGCACTGACAACTAAAAAAAAATGTTTAAAAAAAGAAGAAAAATGTTGAAGTATTCCTTATTAAAAAGAAGAAGAAGTATGTTGATGCATCTACATCTCTCAACCTCTACACTATTTCCCTGTTCTATACCCTGGGTTTCTATAACTTTATCTGTCAGTGTAATAATTTTCTCTTCAAACATGTCTAGTTTATTATGTAAACCAGTTATTGGGTTTTTATTTCAGTAACTATAGATTTTAATTCTTTAAATTCTGTTTGGTAAATTTTTAAAAATATTTTTCAGATGTTGATGGACCTTTATTTTATTCATTTATTTATATGCAGTGCTGAGAATGGAACCCATTGACTCACATGTGCTAGGCAAGCGTTCTACTACTGAGCCACAACCCCAACCCCTGTTTGGTCATTTTCAAATTCACTTGCTCTTTTCTGTAATGACATGATTTGGCCTAATAGTAAACATAAATACAACATAGTGAACATAATTATATTAAATTTTCTTTTCAATGTCCTATCACCTGAAGTTTTGGGGGTATTAATTCAAAGAACCCAGGGGCACTCAATCACTGAACTACATCCCAGCCCTTTCTATTTTTTATTTTGAGATAGGTTCTCACTAAATTGCTGAAGCGGGCCTCAAACTTGCAATTTTCCTATCTAGCCTCCCAAGTCTTTGGCATTACAGGCATGTGCACCAAACCAGGCTTGGCTCTCTCTTTTGACAATTGATTTTCTCAAGTAACTCAGGGATTTTTGGTAAGAACCATCTTCAGCCAGATGCAGTGTGGCACTGTCTTATAATCCCAGTAACTCGGAGGCTGAGGCTGAGTTCGAGTCCAGTCTGGGCAACTTAGCAAAACCCTGTCTCACTTATTAAAATATTTTTTAAAAAGTCTAGGAATATAGTTTGGTTTGGTTTGGTTTTGGTATCAGAGAATGAACCCTGGGGTGCTTAATCACTTAGTCACATCCCCTGCCTTTTATTTATTTGTTTGTTTGTTTGTTTTATTTTGAGACAGGGTCTCTCTGAATTCCTTAGGGCCTCACTAAATTGCTGAGGCTGGCTTTTAAATCCTCCAAGCATGCCCCACTACACCCATCGGGAAAGTATTTTAATGATAGAGTACCCCTGGGCTCAATCCCCAGTACCACACACACACACACACACACACACATACACACACACATACACACACACACACACTGTTGTCTGTGTTCAGTGTGCCCTGGGTTGTGGAATCTCTGGGTGGCTTCACATTTACAACAACAAAAGCCCTACAAGAGGAGCTGGGTTGTAGCTCAGTGGTAGAGTGCTTGCATGGAAGGTATGAGGCACTGGATTTGATCCTCAGCACCACATAAAAATATTAAATATTAAACTAAAAATATTTTTTTAAAAACCCTATGAGATTTATGGGTTTCAAACTAGTTTTTAACCTTTTGATTTTTTTTCCAGTGTTAAGGATCAAACCCAGGGCCTCACATATGCTAGGCAAGCACTCTAGCACTGACCTACCTCCTCAGTCTCACTTTAACTCTTGGCACCACTTTAGTAAAACAAATTGGGGGGTGGGAGGATAAAACTTACCCTGAGCATAAAGTTGACAGTATATGATATACATTTATGGACTGGAAGTCACTGGAGTGTGTTGCTGTGTTTCCCTCTCATCCGCTCTTCAAACTAAATGGTTATTTTCTTTCTCTCTCTAGAGCTTCTGAAATGACAGGAAAAGTCTGTATCAGCAAACTCTGAAGAGTTTGCCATCCTTGGATACTTGCCTGAAGAAAAACCATGATGTGTCTGCCTGTATTATTTTTGTAGAAAAAAAAAAAAAACTTTGCATTCAGGACTTAACACAACGGGGTGTACTCCTTCTGAGGTTCAATCAGTCCACAGTTGTGGAATCTAGAAAGTTGATCTTCGATGGGCGCCCCACACGCTTATAATCCCAGCGGCCTCTGGAGGCTGAGACAGGAGGATCTCGAGTTTAAAGCCAGCCTCAGAGAAGCACTAAGCAACTCAGTGAGATCCTGTTTCTAAATAAAATACAAAATAGGGCTGGGGATGTGGCTCAGTGGTTGAGTGCCCCTGAGTTCAATTCCCAGTACAAAAAAAAAAAAAAAGTTGATGTTCTATTGTTCCTCACCTCTGCTTATCAATGCTCAATTTTTTTATTCATTCCACAAATATTTATTAAACATCTATGAGGCACTGTTACTGTCCTAGGCCTTTGAGATAGATCAATACCAAGAGAAAACTTCCTGATCTCATGGAGCATACATTCCAATGGAGAAAGGCAAAAAATACATAAGCATAGAAATAAGTAACCTCAGATATTGAGGAAGAAAAATGCAACATGGTTAGAGATTGGCTGGGTGGAGGCCACTTAGGTGTAGGAATTTCTCAGGAAGATATAGCATTTGAGATGAGACCTGAAAAATGAAAATGAGCCAGCCAAGAAAATACTGGGGAAAGACAGAGGGAATTTCAAGAGCAAAGAATTTTTTTTTAATGTTGTTATTGTAGGTGGACACAATATCCTCGTTTATTCATTCATTTTTGTATATGGTGCTGAGGATGGAACCCAGCACCTCACGCATGTGAGGCAAGCACTCAGCCGCTAAGCTACAACCCCTGCC